GGTCAGAACTGGGCGTGGTCCACCTCGTCCAGCCAGGAGGCCGGGCTGGCGGGGAAGTCGGGGTAGCCCCCGCTGCTCCCTGTCGACAAGTCGGAGCTGGGTCCGTTCCCCGACAAGACCCTCATGGGCTGGGGTCCTCCCGGGGCCCCCGAGGGCACGAGGCCCAAGCCGGCCTCCGGGTACACCAAGCTGGAGAGTAGGGGTTGCGGACCCGGCAGGCCGGGCAGGGCGGCGGGGGAAGGGGCCACGCCGAAGGGGCTGCCGGGCCGTAGCTCACCGAACGGCTCCGGGCCGGCCAGGCCTCCGTGCTCCAGCGCGAAGCCGCCCGGTGCCCCCACGGGCCGGCCCAGTGCGGGGGCCGGCTCCCCCAGGCCGCTGTAAAGCCCGTTGGCAGGGCCCATGTCCGCCATGGGGGGCTCATCTGCAAGGGAAACGAAGGCCACTCAGGGCGCCAGGGCGCGCAGCCCCTGCCCCACCGGCTCAGCGACTCTCCTCCCTGCGAACCAACCCACGAAGCTGCCCTTGGCCGCTCCTGCCCGCACCCACCCCCACCCGGCTCCATCCCTAAAACGGAACCGCTGGGCAGAGTAGGCGGGGTCCCCAGGATGGCTCAGGGAGAGGTGGTACTCAGACAGACCACTGTCCTCCCCGTTCCCCACCCCACTTTTGCAAACAGGTAAACGGGCCACAGAGGTTGAGGGCCCAGCTCTGCAGGTGGGGTGGGCGCCAGGTGCGGGTGTCTAACCCAGCTTAGCAGAAAGAACTTCATTTTGTTTTAAAGGGGCCTTCACCCCCTGTTAGCAGGTAGCCACCCCTCCCCCCTTTCTGCCGCTTTCCTAACAGACCTTGACTCTCAAGATGTCTGGACCCTGCCTGCCTAATTAGCAAGAAAGGTAAACTATCCTATTAGATTTTGAATGATCACCTGCAGCTGTGCTGTGCCCCCTATCCCCGGGACACTGCTCCCATACCTGCCACCCGATAAGAATGTCACTGCTCAAAAATCCCGACCCATAAGCCTCCCCCCACCCCACCCCGACCCCCTGAACGATTAAAAACCCTGTTCTTTGGCCCAGGCGGAGAGTTTTCCAGGCTCTAGCCTGCTCTGGAACCAGCTGTCAGAAAGGCTTTTATATTAAATGGGGTGAGAATAATCTCTCTTGGGTACAAGCATACACACGGGGAACTTCCCAGGCCTGAGAGATGGGATTAGCGGCCCCTCGCAAAGGGGAGGAGGAGCGGCAGCTCTGGTCCCAGCAGCTCGGGTCCAGCCCCCTCCCGCACCCCCCAGCCAAGTAGCTAGCATGCTGCCCTTCACACACACACACACACACACACACACACACACACACA